GCGTGTACCACCCGTGTTAAATAATCCATCTAATCTATGTGTGTGTGTGTAGTTACCTAAGTCTAGCACACAAATTACACACACACACACATACACACACACACAGATAAGGATGGATTATTTAACACGGGTCGTACTCGCACAAGGGGACACAGGTGGAAGCAGAGTCCAGTGTGTGTGTGTGTGTGTGTGTGTGTGTGTGTGTGTGTGTGTGTGTGTGTGTGTGTGTGTGTGTGTGTGTGTGTGTGTGTGTTTCGTTAGATGATTTACTAGTATGCTAATATGCTCTACTACATTGATTTTAGTTATCGGCATACTGAGGTACCTCTACATTTATGTAGATACTCTGGAAACCTAGGACCAGATTCACGAAGCAGTTGCTCAAGTACTTACGAACGTGTACATCTTTCCTCAATTTTTGACGGCTTTGGCTACATTTATTAAACAGTTTACAAGCATGAAAACTTCCCAATCAACTGTTGTTATTGTTACAAACAGCCTCCTGGTGACTCGGAGCTCATTAACTGTTTAATAATTGTAAACAAAGCCGGCAAAGATGTACAGGTTCGTAAGTGCTTGCGTAACTGTTTCGTGAATCTGACCCCCTAGACTATATGAAGTGTTGCATCATTTTTTTTTTTTTTTTTTTTTTTTATTAAGTTATGAGGTACATCTGCATTAGTGCAGCTACCCTAGACTATATGAAGTGGAGTACAGTGTGTCAAAAAAAAACTAACTAGGTGATGCTATAAAATCCCCATCACACAGGATGGTTAGTCATACAGAGACATATGATAGGCGGTCTGCACTGGCAGACTCCGGATGCATTTTGAGGATATCAACAACACAAGATTGAATAAGGTAGCAGTGGTAATACAAGTCCCCATCTCGCAGGATGGTTAGTCATACAGGGCCATGTGTTTAATAGCCTGCACTGGCAAATTTTGGGTATACTGTGAGGATATCTTCAAGAATACGAGAGTGAATAAAGTAATTGCAAAGCTCCAGTTGCATCATTTGGGTCAGTTCTGTTTTAAGTCTACGGAGGAAACCTCCGCATCGTGGCAGAGGTCGCGGGCAGACGTTTGTGGCTAATAAACACCACCGCCAGGATTATTATTATTATTAGCATCTTTATTGACAAAATTAATTTCAATTTTGCCTAATAATACTAGTGGTCAACCCTCGACACTCGAGTATTACTCGGGTTGTGAACGCTGCTAAGATCTTCCCCTCACAAGGAAATGTAGATGTTTATCTCTCAGAATGTTCGGTAATATGTTTATTGTTTGTGATGTGTGTCTATGTATGTATTAACACGATGTACTGAACGGGGTGAGAATAGCGTGAGCTACCTCATCCCTTTGTGTGTATTTTACCTCAATAAACTGATTTCAGTTTCAATTTCCCCTCACATTATTGATCCACCAGCATCAATATGGTTAGAGTATATGCATGTAGAGATATATTTCCAATACTAAAATGATGTCCACACGATTTTATTATTGGAAGAACACAACAAAATGAGCAAAATCGATTATCAAACCAATTTTGATATGTTGAGCGCACTCTTCATCTGTTTTGCTAGGAGCGGTGTAAATCCTTCCCCCCCCCCCGGGGGCATCTTGGATGAGTTTAACTTACGAAGTCTGTTAAATGTATCTTGTCGGTCTTTTAGTTAACATTGCACAACCGGTTCTGCCGGGTGACAACGATGTCATACTGACCGGACGTTAGGTATTGCGTCTGATCAGTTAATGTGAGTAATGAATGTTATGTACATTCAGTTGCTGGCTAGCGAGGAGGGAGGGAGGGGGGGAAGAGTGAGAGAGTCAGACGTCCCAGGGGAGAGCAGTGGCGGGAATGGGAGTGTTCCGGTATGTGTTGGAACAATCCACTGGTGAGGGTGTGGCGACACTATAGCCAGCAGGTGTGTGGTAACGCCCTGACACCACTCACTGTTTACCTGAGCAGGCAGGTAGGTAGGTAGGTGGTAGGAGGAGGCTGGTGGTGTAGCCTCATCCCCACCTGCACCCCCTCCTGGCTAGGGGACCGTAGTGGGGGGGGAAAACCCCCCTCTCCGGTCCCCCTGGCCAGCCTCCCCAACACCCTCTACCCCCAACCCTCCCCTGAACTACTAGGCGCGACGGCTCGCGCGGAGCCTCAGTTGGTGACGAGCGACGGAGTTGTGTACACAGTGTTGCTTTTTGTCCCATTACTTTGATGGCTGTGGCCGTCGTCGTCGTCGCGTGCCCAGGCATCCGTACCACCAGCGCCCTGTACAAACTACACCACCACATGTAAAGGAACTGATTTAGAGAAAGTGTGCTTCTCTTTGTGTGTATAAGTGAAGCTCTCGTGCACAGTAAAGAGAAAATCGTCTTGTGTATTTGGTGTTAGCCGAGTTCACGGGTCCTGCGGAGGATTGCAGCACTCTGGGTGATCATCCCATGGAAAGTAGGCCCTAAGTCCGGTTGCCCTAAATAGTGTGTAATCCCTGCTAGACTACATCGTGTGTGTTCCCTCGTCACGTGACTCAAGGAGCACTTAGAAGGTGCTCTGATCGCTCTTCTGTCTGCCGTACTCCCAACCCTCTTGTGTTCTGACTAAATAAGCGGGCTTGTCCGCTTTATGGCTACAACATCTCGCCAAATAATATTTATTGTTGCACGAGATAAACCGTACCAGATACTCTTGCTTAAGCTCGTCAAACTCACGCCCAATTATAGGACGAAGGAAAGATTTAGTTGACACATTATATAGCGCTCGCCGCAGTGAACCATATAAACCGTGATTGGTATTGAGCCAAGACGCGCACCTCCGCTGTCAGTCTTAGATGAAGGCGTCGGTGCAGATACCTGCCAGTCAGGTGATGAAGGATCAGGACGGAGGACTCGAGGCTCACTCCAAAGCCAAGGAGCCCCACGACCTGGCCGTCCTCAGGCTCCTGCTGCTACTACAGGTTAGTTCAACACGCTCGCTGCTCCCGCAAACTTTTCAAGTTAGACCTTAACATAGTTTACTTTGTCTAGAAGCTAATTTTCTACCATTTTTTAATACCGGTGATTATAGCAGTAATGGTCACTAGAAGTCTTCGTTGTCGCTGGTTTAGTCACCTCCAGCTTACTTATCCAGGCCGGAGCTAATAGTTCGAGGAAGTGCATATAACTACGTTGCTTTTAATTTTGCTACCGCCCGGCATTTTTTATGCTGATGACGATGGCGTGACACTTGCCGTGCTGAGTGTGAGGACAGGTTGGGCTGACGACTGGCCTGTCAGTACTTGCCTGTCAGTATCTACGGTGAAGTGAGGTCTACTGGCTCTTGTTGTACTTGTTGCCTTCTAATTTACCCATTCTGATGTTCAAATTCATTGTCGAATCTGGCTTTAAAGTTGTAAATGGAGGTGGCTTCCACAACTTCTGTCCGCGCATTCCACTTGTTGACCACCCGTAATGGCTACGAGTACTTCCTTACATTCCTTCGGTTCATTTGCGTTTCCAGCTTCTACCTGTGTCCTCTTGTCCTGCTTTCTGTCAATTTGAAGAGGCTATCTTTGTCCACCTTATCAGTTTCTCTCAGTATCTTGTATGTTGTGATCATATCTACCCTCTCTGTTCCTTCTATTCTCTAAGGTTGTGAGATTTAGTTCCATTAGCCAGTCCTCGTAGCTTAACCCTCTTAGTTCTGGCACCAATCTTGTTGCAAACCTTTGTACTCTTAATTAAGGCTTTATGCTTCACAGATTCCATGCCGGTATTGGTCTAACAAATGTTATGCAGATTGCCTTGAAGGATTCCTGATTTAGATTTCTAAACGATGTTCTTATATTTGTCAGCGTCTCATATGCTGCCGATGTTATCCAGTTTATGTGTGCCTCCGGTGGGAGTGTGTCCACTCCCAAGTCTCAAGACTTGGCTAAAGGCTGCCACCAACACAATAGAACATAGCTGAGGAAAAGCAATGTAGCAAAACTTAAAATACCTTAACATGGAATAATTATATATTTTAAATCCTCCTTTCTCGTTAGAGAATAAATTAGGAGTAATAATGATTATTCGGAAGTATAGGCTAAGCCTATCGATGGCGAATGCATAAAAATACAAATGTAACTAATATTTTTGCCTCTTTTCAGCATCCAATTTTGGTAGTCAAATGTGCAACTGATCCAGTTGTTCTTCTTTATATTAATTTACTCTATTGTATATTTGGGAAGAATAAATTATAGGAATATCACAGAATAAAGCACGCAATAAACTAATTATTTTCAATACTAAAATAATTTAGAAATCCAAACAAAGGAACGAATCTAGCCTAGTGATTTGTGAACGCGGTCCTGTAAAAAGAAAGAAGAATGAATTTATTTATTGGGGAAAACTTTTTACTTTTTAAAAGACGTCTACAATGACCGGAAATGTATAATACTACAATTCTATTTTTTTTAATATATCTCAGTCTCAACTCATCTACTAGGCCTAGAGGCCTGCTTTATCTGCACGTTAAGCTTTCACTTTACCTCTGGGCGTCTCAGACTCTTTGACTAGAGAAATTTAGAGAAAACATTTAATTTAGAGTTCTTACTGTCTTCAACTGGTGTATTGGACACGGCTTCCTCATCCTCTGAATATAGAGATCGACTTTGTCCTAGTTTAAGTCCCCGCATGTTAAATTGCAGTCAAAAAGAGCTGATAAACTTTCCATGTTCAATATATCGGATATTTCAGTGTATTTATGATTCGATTTATGATCCATATATTAATGGTGCGAGGAAGTGGCCACCCCCACCACCTCCCCATGACGCCCCCCACTTCCCCCATGACCACACACCCCCTCCACCCCCCCCCCCTGATCGTCTCCCCGACCAACGAGTCACACACCACAACACAGCACCCGTTAATAAACTTGTTTACTGCCAGGAGCAGCAATTGCTTTAGTCATTAGCGGTTCCTGGAGACCCCACAAATTAAAAGTTGTAGAGATTACACAATGTACACAGTATCAGTGAGTTCATCTCTTGTACAATGTGTTTCCGGCCCCTTCTCCCAGAAGTGGAGCCGTGTCATTCATGAGTTGTGTCGCCGGATGTGATTGTGACTTAAGGAATATACGTAACGTAACTCAGCTCAGCTAAAGTGTACTGGTGTGTAGCACACACGTGCACACCGGCCTCGTTGATATACCATGACATTCACCACATATATGTGGCTAAAATTAGAACTGTGAGGCCTTGAGGCAAGATTTTTAATAAAAGTATTTTGGTCTCCGTAGCCTTGTTGACGTGCAGTGGAAGTGCGGGGAGTTCGTGTTTGGTTTAGGCTAGGCTTGCTGGATGTGTATGCCATGATGAGTCCTCCATTGGTTATTGGTATATTTGTCTAGTCGGCACTTAACCCCAATTTTTTTTTTATATATTCAGAGTTATAGATTTATGGAACAAATTACCGGGTAACATAATTAGTCATAAGTGGTTAGCAATTTATATATGAATGAGTTAGATTATGTTAAATAGGAGCAGCCTTACGTGGGTCAATAAACCTTTTGCAGTTAACTATATTTGTTTTTATAGTGATTGTTAAGAGGGAATTTGTTCTCAACCTTTTGTTATAAACTTTTTTATTAGGCCTCAATCAGAGGATATCAAGCAAGCCTCGTCACCAATATTTGCCTCCTGCCTCTTGTTGATGCCTTGAGTGTCTATGTAGTTAGGGGTGTTGCCCCATATATACATGACTGCCGGTGTATGCTTTCCTCCCTCGAGCGTGTTGACCTCGCCTCTGGTTGCCCTCGTAATCTGTCCTCGTAGGGGCCATGTGCTATTATAAGTCCAGGGTGGTAACGAGCGTCACTACTGGTGAAGGAGAGAGAGAGGGAGGGAGAGAGGCTCCCTCACATTCCTCAGTGTTCCTGTGACGCGGGTAGGTGGTGACGCCACAGGATCATGCGCCAGGCGAGCTGGAGTCCTACGTGCCACACTTCGTACGTACTGTGCATGCTCAATGAGCTCTTCATTGTGCACTTGCGCTTTGTTGTACTGGAGAGTTACAGAGAAGTTTGTGTGACGTGTGTGTGCTATTTTAGTGTGAGTAGTCTTGGGATCAAGCGTCTTCACTGGTGTATTTCCATAATTCCTAGGCCAAAGGTGACTTACTCGTTTATAGCATTTGTTGAATATCATTATGATTCCCTCTGTCGATAATATGAATCTCAATAATAATGTTTTCATTGTTTTCTGTAGCCCTCTTATGTGCAGAGATCAAGGTTAGATTTAAATATATTAGTGTCTAAAAATTCTAAATATGTGCACTTGAAAGATTAAACGAGTCTGGAATGCGTTTCCTTTATAAGTGTGTGGACAAAAGAGAGGAGAGAAGTGTGTGTCGAGGCGGCCCACGCAGCGGAAGTGTGTTTTATCAAGTCTGTTCATTCATGGAGCCGCTGGGTGTTTGTTATTGTGTGTGGCTCCCCCTGCGGGAGTGACTGTGGCGTCACGTCCGCCGCCCCAGCACCAGCTGCGATACGTGACCAATCCCAGGTTACTGCACCCTCCCGCTGCACCTTCATGTGCCACGCCTCCCATACCATCTTCACCTTCGTGGTGTACTGAGCCACAGAGCTCGGCATCACTCATCACTGTACCTAAGTAGTAGGCATCCATCAGTCTCAGGAGACTATGGAGTTGCGCTCTGGTTGTCGGTCTGGAGTGGCCTCACCAGGGCGCAAAGCCAGGGTAGGTTGATGTACCTAAGGACTCTAGCAAAATTGTCTAGACCTGAGAAATGAAATCTACACTAGGTATTCCATCGATCAAAATAGTATTACATTAGCCTATACGGGATGTTCCATTCATTGAAGTCAGCAGACTTCTACAGTAGACGCTACTACTGCTAGGCTTAGTCTGGGCTATTAGCACCTCTGGCTGTTACCACTCCCTGCTAATGTATATGACAATGTAAACTTTATCAGCAAAACTATGTACATACCGCACGTCACTATGTACATGAATGTAAAAAAAATATCCAGTTTATAAACAATTCTGTCAATAATGTTTCAAGAAATTTCCAGGTATTTTATCAGGAGTGACATATTACCCAAAATCCTAGCCAAGAATCTCACGTTTATTGCAGATAGTGTACACAGTCTGTATAGGCTTACACTGCCAGCACGCTACTTATCTGCCTACATCATGACCCTGTAATGTTACATTAACCAAAGTGCTGTAATTAGACCACTAATCTTGTAGCATGATCAAAAATTTGAGGCAAACTAATTTGTAGCTGGTTCAGATGAAACGTAAATGGCTTAACATAAAGGACATTAGGGTCCAGTAACTGAAGTCATTACGATTAACCATTCTACTACAGTGGGTGGGCCATATAGGTCTAATTAGCAAATAATAAATATTTGCTTCAACCCCCAAACCTCATTATCTTTAATAAGAGTTTAACGTCAGTCTTCGTATCGTGTTATGAAAGTGTAATAATATCCAGAGAAAGGAATTGCCCAGCACAATATGGCTCAAGTTCGGTATGTCAGAAGAAAGGAGAAGAAAGGAGTCAGAATGTATTGGGTGCGGGCGTTGATGAAAGTGGTGGCCGGGAGACATCTGGCCGGAGACCCGGCCCAGACGGGGAGGGTGACTGGTGTGCTTGCGTCACGCAACACTTCACCGGAAGGAACACCTCCCACAGAGCCTTCTCATTCTTGCACACACCTTTCCACGAACACTGAATGAATCGAGGGAGAAGGGGGGGAGGGGATGGGTGTAGACGCAATGCCCCGCCCGCGAGTATGGGAGGAAGCAAGGAGGAGGAGGCGACGGCACGCCACTGCTTGAACCATGATGCTGTACCCTGACACGTGCTCGCCATGTGATGATGGCCGCACATGGGGCTGTGTTTACACTACTTCTTCCCCTACTATACCACCCTCCGCCCCCCATCCCGTCCCTGCTGGCTGGTGGGCCCCTTGTGTAACCCAAAGCGTTATATGACAAAGAGTGCTGGGAAGACGGGACACCACGAGCGTATCTCTCATCCTGTAACTACACTTAGGTAATTACATTGACCACAGCCACGCAAAACTATATATGGAATATATATTTGTTTATATATTTTACTGTTTATATATACAGTATATAAAAATATGGATGTAGGCTATGTGTAGTTTTACTTACATGTTGATGCAGGACGTAGGCTACCATTCTATCTTATGATATCTACTTACGTTTATTGTACGCATAATTTTGCCTCTATAGCTATGGTGGGCATACTTATATAGAGTAGATAACGGAGCCCTCTTGTAGGTATCATGATTTTTTATGTAGACATTTAATAGACCAAAGTCTCGTTATAACACTCACCTGATACCCAAACCTAATTATAACACGATATGAAACCAAAGTCTCGTTATTACATTTATCAGAGACCAAAACCTCGTTATAGCACGCCATCCAACGTGCTATATCCCTTATCTTATCGAAACACCACCAATTCTGCTTGATTTGAATTTTTTCCTGTGGGATCGATGCCATAACACTGTGTTCATTGTTCTTGAAGTTTGAAAAAGTGTTGGGAATATTGCATTAAAGAAGGACGTTGACCAGACCACACACTAGAAATTGAAGGGACGACGACGTTTCGGTCCGTCCTGGACCATTCTCAAGTCGATTCGGAATCGACTTGAGAATGGTCCAGGACGGACCGAAACGTCGTCGTCCCTTCAATTTCTAGTGTGTGGTCTGGTCAACATACTTCAGCCACGTTATTGTGACTCATCGCCTGCTTAAAGAAGGACGCTCCGACCCAAAGAGTGATATAATGCATTATGCATGACATTAAACGAGAAAGGGACATTATAACTATTCTCTGCGCTAGTCCATGCTGGACAAAAATTAATTAATACAAGCTCTTTGATGATGTGATCTGAATTAACTGGAATTTGCCAGAGGGCCAACATCTCTAGTGGCCTCGACGGGGACTGGAAACTGGCGGCTTGTCAAAGGTCTTCCCATTATTTCTGATTAATTTGTCGAGCTGAATTTCGAACTGGAGTACTGCATGATGGTTCGTCATGCAACCCAGTGTATGAATTCCAGTTTGTCATGGACGTGTGCGTGTGATGGTGGCAAGGCTTTAGGCGACGGAGAGGCGGGCTTGTTGAACGCTGACGCATTCGTGGACCCTGAACAGGCTTTTGACATTTATTGAGTGCGTCCTTGTCGCTAGCAGGCTGGGTGACTGTGTCCGGGGAGTTCCCCGGACCAGTCTCATATGGGTGCTGTGCTCACCTAGTTGGTGCTTGCGGCGGTTGAGCTCTGGCTCTTTGGTCCCGCTTCTAAACTGTCTGTTAACTGGTGTACAGATTCCTTAGAGATACCTGTTATGGGTGCATTTCAGTGCTCTCTTTCTCTCTCTCTCTCTCTCTCTCTCTCTCTCTCTCTCTCTCTCTCTCTCTCTCTCTCTCTCTCTCTCTCTCTCTCTCTCTCGCTCTCTCTCGCTCTCTCGCTCTCGCTCTCTCTCTCTCTCTCTCTCTCTCTCTCTCTCTCTCTCTCTCTCTCTCTCTCTCTCTCTCTCTCTCTCTCTCTCTCTCTCTCTCTCTCTCTCTTTCTCTCTCTTTCTCTTCTCCCTCCCTCCTCATCTATCTCATTGTCCGTTGGTCCTTATTTCCCGTTATCGGTATAATTTGTGACATTAGATAATCTTGTAAGCATTAATAATGAGGCGGCAGTAGAGCGAAGCATTGGGGCGAGGGACAGGAGCCTGTGGAGGCGCTTGTGAGGGTCACCAGCTGGCTGGTCACTACTGCACATGGGCTAATGACCCCCAACACTAGACCAATTACTTTGCTTGAGTACAACACTACAACAATCATATTACACTTGACAAAATCTCTTTACCTCCCATATGCAGCACAATTATCAAGGATCCCCCCCCCCCCCCCCGGCATGTGGATCTATTACATTCTCTTTAATGAGTTGAATGCTCCAGGCGTCAAATACAACTATTATTGCAAGCCGTTTTGATACCAAACTCCTACCTGTACTTTGCCTTCACATCTGCGACCAAGTGACAAGCAGCTGAGTTAAGCCCTTGCACTATACTGTATCATATAATTAATTCCTTTCAGCCGGGGGGACAAGAGTTGCCACTGGCTGGTTAGCTCGCTTCAGGGTTGTACCCCCAGGTTAGTACCTCGGGGTACAAACCCGGTATGCCTCTATTTACCTAGCAGTACCTGGGAGTTAGGCCTTGGCGACAATTGTAGGTTGCATTCTGAGAAAGGTCAGTCCTGGGGGCATACCTGGAGAGGGTTCTGGGAGTTCTTCTAATCCCCAAGCCCAGCCTGAGGCCAGGATCGACTTTTGTGATAACTTGGTCCAACAGGCTGTTGCTTGTAAGAGAACCCAGGTTTTTGTAATGGTAACATACTACCGCCTTATTGTATGGTATTACCTACCATTGTCGGGAATAGACAATGAAACTGTTTGCATCGTTACCTATCTAACATTGTTATCACCTAGCGCCATCACATTTCTTTGTCCATTTCTAATTGGATATTAGGCTACCTTGTTCACTCCAATAAGATGTTTCCACAGTTTGATAATCAGTTCATAATTTTACAAAGACGCCTGTCTTCAAAATTGGCATCATGTTGATAAATAAATGCTAATGAGGTAATTTGAATTTCAGGTAGCAGGGGAGAGGAAGGCAGAAATTGAAGCACTCCTGCGTGGCACCGCTGGTGCAAAGCCACAGAAGCAGCAGAAGGCTGAGGAGGAGGAGCGACTGCAGGATTCAGACAACCATGGCTTGAGGCGACATTCCTTTGCTAAGCGATGGAGAAAGCCTCCCCTAAAAAAGAAGTCAAGTGAGGAGGAAGAGTCCTCTGTTAAATCTTCCACTTCCACCTCGACCACATCGTCTACCAACTCTTCCATTAAATCAACAAGCAGTTCTCCCTCCAGTCACGATGGACAGATCCTCTGCTCTACTGGTTCTTCCCCGTGTTCCAATGGCCACGTTAACGGCCCACTGGATTCAAATAATATCGACTATGCTAAGGAGACCATGCCAGTTGACATCAATGACATAGCTGCTATGTCCTTGTTACAGAGGCTCGCCTTGGTTAGTATTCAGCTTACATTACAAGACATTTAATAAAGTTGTATTATTTGTATTGATATATTGTAGGGATACAAGTTTGCATAGGTTTTTACTGAATTTTAAATATTTAATCTTATTTGGGTAATTTATCCACAGAATGCGCTAAACTTGACTGCTCCAGCCTCTTCAGTGTTGTTAAGGGATCGTCGGTATAGCTGGGTGCAACTGGCGGGCCACCCTGGTTCCCTGGCTCCAGCTGGTCCTGGTACCATTTGGAAGAAAAGAGGCCCCGAACCTGTAGAGACTCAGGCATATCAGGCTCTTGTTTCCGACCCTGCAAGAGACATCACTCCTACCTTCTTCAGAGAAGTTGTCTATCAAGAAGAACGTATCCTTTCTTACCACGAGTAAACCCAGAAATTGCCTGTTTTTCAATAGTTTTTCGGTATGTCATTGTGTTTGAAGACCTTTAGAGGGAATGAGTTGATTTTATATATTATAATACCTAGTGAACAGCTTGGTGATGTTCAAACATAAAAACATTCTTAAATAAAGGGATGTCTGGTCACCCTCATTAATATTTCTATTCAGTGTAATTAAAAAACAATGCCACACATTAGGTACAGTATTATTGTATAGCAAAAATCCAGTTTGTATTTTCTTAGCTCAAGTTATATAGTTATACTGACTTAGTCCTGTCTCAGGGCAATTACTTTACCTTTCCTCATACTATTTTTTTGTTTTGTTTTATTCTGTATAGTCATATTGGCTTATCACTTTCTCCTAACGATAACTTTAGCTTACTTCGTACTTGTTCCAGTTTTGATGTGTATAGTCATGCTGGCTTAGTACCAGTACTGTACTTTCTCTATTACTTACTAACCTGTTCCTGTCATAATTATCTCCTTCCGAACCTTTAGTCACGAAGGTAATCCTCATCCTTATTCAAGCATTCTTCTTTCAGTGTATGTTGTTTAACAGGCTTTATAGCCAAGCCAATTCAAAGCGTTGCATAAATATTGCATAATGTATTCAAGAAAGATTCTAACAATTACAAGTGGCTGAAAGTTTGGGCCAAGATTGTTTTATAGAACAACAACCCTTGGGAAAGGGAAATAGAGTGGTTAAGAGGCCTAAAGATGTAGAATAATAGTTTTGTTTAAAGGAATATTCTTGTGTGAACTTATCTAGGATTTTGTATTTATAAAGTTTTAATTAATTAGTGTGATAATTTTTTTTGTTTTTTTGTCTTTAACTTTTTATGATACTGAATTCGACAGGTTTTTCCTTAACGTGTTTATTTAGATTTCATTGAAATGAGAGACTTGCTGTATAACTTCCACAACCCATGCGTGATGGACATTAAAATGGGCACTCGGACATTCCTAGAATCTGAAGTTTCTAACAAGAAAGCTCGCAAAGATCTTTACGAGAAGGTAAGATTGTTTCAGATATGGAGACTTCATATGATTATGAAATCTGTTATCATTCATATACAGATGCTAATGAACCTACAAAATGAAAAATAACAATGTATCTTTAGTGTTTACAGCATCACAAGCTATGATTTTTCATGACTTAATATCTTTTTCAATTTACACAGATGATCAAGGTAGACCCCAAAGCGCCCACTTCAGAAGAACATGAGGCCAAAGCAGTCACCAAGCTGCGATACATGGACTTCCGTGATAACATGAGCTCTTCGCGTTCACTTGGATTTAGAATTGAAGCTCTTAAGGTTTGTACACATTGTACTGTACTTGCTACTGCTTGGCTTTTTTATCTTATGATGTTAGAATATATTTTTTAATTCTCACCAGTAATTGTTTAGTATTAATACATTATGTATTTTGCCAACAGATGGCAGGAAGTGAGGCAGTGACAGAATTGCAGACTGTTAGAAGTAGAGAAGAAGTGGTTGGCACCATGAGCGGATTTTTGAAAAGCCGAGAAAGTACAAAACGCCAAGTTCTGGATCGTCTTACTCATCTCAGACGGGTTTTTACAGATTCTCCCTTCTTCCAAAGACACGAGGTGAGACACCTTGAGAACATCCTTTTACTTTTTAACCAAAAATTCGGGATACTGCCAAAGTATTGAGAACCATTTTTTTTTTTAAATCTGATCATATATGCCTTTGTTCACCTAGCAGTAAATAGGTACCCAGGAGTAGTCAGCTTGTTGCGGGGTTGCATTTTGGGAAGGGTCAGTAATTCGACCTTTGGAGGACTTTGATATAAGCCTAACATGTATATATTTATATACACTGGCTGCCTGCCCCCACGACACAATGTATTGTTATTATTACTATAAAAATTAGGCTCTGCATTACAGTATACAGTAAAGTTTTTCCAAACACTATAATATAATGCTCAACTTTTATAATGTATCAATTCATCAACTTTTTTATGATGCTGGTATTTGTTTGCATCAACTATATATTGCAATTGTCTACTTTTTCACTAAAAATAAGAAGGCAGAATATATATATCACATTTGCATTCTGTATTTATAAAATGTAACAATGCAGGTCATGTTTAATTTTATCTATTTTAGGTTCTCTTTCCATATATACAATATGATGAATGAAAATCAGTCTCATTTTGCTCATGATGCCCTTCACCTTCTATACATTGATTAGTAGTTTGAAAATTCATTGACACTACAGTACTTCATCAGTATTTAATACACAATAAGTTGGATCATCAGTATTTTAAGGCGTGCACCTCTATGAATTTAAATCCAATAAATTTATTCTGATAAACAGGATCCACTGAAACTTGGTAAACTATTGGTAGATCTCTCTATTAATTTATTACTATTAATTACAGTACTATTTCTAGAGAGTAATTAGGCGTACATAGGAGAGGAGTAGTATTAATATCTCTTTTTTTTAATTGACTACAAATGTTCAAAGTCTTTCTTGATCCTTATTTGTATGCCTCATTATATATTTTGAACAATGGTCTTGGTCTATTTACAGGTGATTGGAAGCAGTATCTTGATCATTTATGATGATGAGAAGGCAGGTGTGTGGATGATTGACTTTGCCAAGACAGTGGCAGTTCCTGAAGGCTGTAGTATTACGCACAGGAAACCATGGACGCTTGGAAACCATGAGGAGGGCTACCTTACTGGCATTGACAATCTAATAAAGGTAAGCAATCGTGACGAAGCTAATTAATATTAAATTTCAAAGATTTTTTTATGAGATAATATTTACATAACTTGGGTTCCCTTAAATGGCCAGCATTGAAATTTTATGTAACTGTTTATACTCTTAAAAGCTCTAATTATATTAGCTGTGTGTAGTAATTCAGAAACTGCTCATTAAAATATTGTCTGCAGTTACCATTTGATTAAAATTTTATATATTTTCCAGGTTGTGGAAGAAGTCCCAACGAAGACTAAACGACTTGGGCTATTCCACAAATCTTAAGTAGAAATATATTGAGGACTCGTTCTAAAGAAGTTCGAAAACCAGAAGAACTTTAAATGTGACGTATATATTCATAATCATGCAGAGTACAGTATATACTGTATAGTTCTAAAAGAAACTTGAAAATCACGTGACTTCTCATTGTTAGTTTAAAATACGTTGTGGTGAGTACAGTATATCTGTTGCTTTACCATATTGTCAAAGACTGCAACTACTGGCTTGAAAAATTATTTGCTCTAATAAACTAATATTTATAACTGCTATTTATACATTAAATTATTAATATTTGATAACTGTTCAAGAAATACAAAAATATGACAAAATTAATTGAGCTGCCTGTTTATTACAAGTAAAGTAGATCTTAATAACTCCAATATTAATCTTGCTACATATATATTTTTTTTTTTAAATATTGAACATTCAGAACAGTTATAAAAACAGGTGTATACTGTCTTCGAGAAAACAGAAGTGTATATTGAAATGGATCTAGCAGAGATCTTGAGGTGCTCACAAGATACACCAGTATCAGCCTTATGTTCAAGACAATTAGTGATGAACTGTATTCAGTTGGTAGGCCTAACCTATTTGGGGATGCACCAAAGAATTCCTTAGTGAGGTTTTAAGAGAATTGTGCCTAATAAGGATTGTGTTCAGTTAACTGGTCAGATGTATTTATTTCTCATATTGGGACCACAACACAATAAATGTAATGCATACTGTATATATATACAGTACAGTATATGTTATATATATATATATATATATATATATATATATATATATATATATATATATATATATATATATATATATATATATATATATATATATATATATATATATATATATATATATATATATATATATATATATATATATATATATATATATATATATATATATATATATATATATATATATATAAAAAGGTTTACTATTGACTTGCTAGGGAAATGTAGGGGAAATTGTAAGAGATCAGTTAAAGAGTGTTCAATAAATTGAGATTCACCAGGAATTCCTCAGCTGATGAGTTACCTATTTTATGTTAGATTCAAATATGTTTCTGGACATAGACTTTCCATATTAATCTGAGTGAAGTTAACTGCACAATACTAATAATTTGTCAAATCCTTTTTAAATTATTTAAAATTTATGTACATCTTTGTCTCCTGAGTGATTCTTATATGTTATTTATTCTACATTTTCATGTAATTTGTAATTATACCCATATAACATTTCACTAACTTTAAAAATTACAAAGCTTTTAGGAGAAAAGCTTGACTATTTCGGGTAAATGTCTCCTCATCCAGATAAGGTCTGACGAGGACATACTTTTATCGCCATGAGCGCATTTTAGTCTTAAAAAAACAAGTTTTCCAGGAATTTAATCACGTGCCATGCTTCTCAGTATTTGTAGAAGTGTAACTACTCTACTTTAAATAATTTGTCATATGTTTGCCATTAGTCATGAGAAATGTCAAAATCGGCTGCAGAAACCAAGTACTGTACCAAGAAAATGGGGCATCCATGACGGAGTGATAAATATAATAAGGTACCTCTCGATGCTGTCAGTTTTTTCTTAAATTTTAACCCGTAGGTTAAAAAAATAGGTATATTGGCCATTGGTATTAAAAGTAAAAGAAAGCTGACTTTATGATTGAGAGAATCAAGCCAGTACACATTTTCATTTTAGCATGGTAAATTTAGAGACAGTATTGTATATTTTCCCCCCAAGCTTACAGTTGAAGCATTGCATGGGTTTATACATGGGCATTTTTGTGACATCCTTTGCAGTATAGGCTTTTCAGCATTGCTTACAAACATTTGCAGGAATTTTTGTTAAATATTTTGCTGCTCTTTTACCCTGCCAAAAAAGTATAGATGCCTAGGATAAAATAATGTATCTGGAGATTTTTTTAGTTCCCTTAAATATAGTATATTTAAATTAAATGCCAAGGATAGCAGTACAATGCAAATTCAATGCAATTATTAATTAAAGTATTTAAATTGTTAAATATATTATTCACATAAATGTATACAGTACATTAAAATTAAAATTCATAAATTTTATTAATACTGCATAGTTCAGATCTGTACATATATATTTATATATTAAAGAGTTTAATGATAATGCAGTAATAACAAGAATTTAGGAAGATTATGTTTCCCATAAATGATGTGATTTGTATTATTTCTCATTATTGAGCCTATCAAACTATTTCCTATACTGTTAATAGGCTTGTCACATTCAGTCTATAGTGTGACTTCTGGCTATTCTGATGTATGTTATTCATTGTATTAACCCTTATCCAGGAGTCATTTTAAATATTAATCATAATAATATATTTCATAATACATTTACATAAAAATCAACAATGTACATAAAGTGCTTTTTTTTGTGTAAAGTCAACTCTTTGTTTCCCTTTGTCGGGGAGACAGGAAGCCTGTTAGGCTTATTGAAGTCCTCATAGGGCAATGGCTGACCTTCCCCAGGATGCAACCCACAACGGTTGCCCAGCTCCTGGGTACCTATTTACTGCTAGGTGAACCAAGGCAATCGGGTGTAAGGAAACGTGCCCAAATATCTCAACCTGTTCGGGTCCAATCGGTTGTGAGCCGACTGTGCTAATCACTGTGCTACAGGTCACCTTTGCATCAGTATTATTTGGAGGTCTATATGCTGCTGTTTTACTACTTTAACATGTCTTGTGTTTCTCTGGTCAGTACCAACAATTATACTATACCTTATCCCTGCGGTTACCTTGCGATGATTTCGGGGCTCAACGTCCCCGCGGCCCGGTCCTCGACCAGGCCTCCTCGTTACTGGACTGGTCAACCAGACTGTTGGACGCTGCTGCTCGCAGCCTAATATATGAATTACAGCCCGGTTGATCAGATATCCTTTGGAGGTGTTTCCTTACGCAGTTGATCAGGTATCCTTACGCGAGGTTGTGGCGTAAATGTCACAGAATTTTCTCCCCTCTAGCAACTGTAAGATTGATATTAGGTTCTACGTATGATAAATATGAAGGAATCTTGACACATCCCCTCTGGTAGTACAAAGTTGCATGTGAAATATCAAGGGCACTGTACAGGTTTAAATTGTAATATAGATGAAATTTATTTCATTTGCCTTATTTTGTATAATGCTATACAATACGGTATAAAACACACACACACGTACACTCATATATATATAGATATATATATACATGACACAATTTGATACCTTCTTTTTATTTGATTTAGTGTTTGTAATCTAGTCCAAATGTTAATTTGTAGAAATAAATATTTGTTGAAAAGTTGTTAATTTTTTTCCTGGACAACAAATGGTTAAATGCAGAAAGTTAAAATTTATGTACTTATCTTTTTTATGCTGTGTTCAAAATACAAGCAGATAAACAAACAGAGAAGGATGCAGATATAATACAGTACTTGCATCCACACACTGTGGGAAAGGAAATACAGTACAGTTCTTTAAAATGCTTCTGTTATATTCCTCAGTAAAATTAATTGTTTCCCTTTTTTGGGAAGAAAGATTAGAGCTGTAGCATGTGGTGTTGCCCATATCTTACAGGAAAAATGAATCACTCGACATAATTGTATTATAAGAACACAAATTTTGGAACAGTGCAGCAGGCCTGTTGGCCCATGCTAAGCACGGCAAATCTATTTCAATCTATTCTCCCCACACATTTCAAAAAGGCATTGCTGTAGCACAGTTAACAGTAAATGCCAGTGTTCAGGGTAGCAAGAATATTTTATTTTGTGGATCAGATGATCAGGTAAAGTATTATTGTTGTGAAAAGTTGATCTCAAGGAGTGTTTTATTTGTATTTATATATACAAGAGCTCTTATATTTTTGTAAAGCCACCAGCATGAATAGCATTTTGGGCACACACAATATATGCACAGATCTGTGCATACATTGCAGTGTTTAAGAAGCACTGCTAAAGAATATTAGTTGATAAATATGTTTAATGCAGAGTATTATAGATTGTTGAAGACCATTAATTGGAAATTAATTTTACTATAAATGGAATTGTAGAGGATGATCTAGATTTGATGGTTGATAGAAGTAAAGAAGGGAAACCTTATTTGGATCACTGCATGAAAATATTTGTTCTCGCTGAATTATACGTTGTATTAAATTACAAGGAAGAGAGAAAAAATGTACAGTACAGTACATGAGTGCAAGTTCATGGGTGGAATACTGGTAGTTGTCTGCCTTGTACCATATGATCCCTATATTTCCTCCTTGTACACCCTTTCGTTAAATGACTGTCAGGGATTCTCATAGCGTGCATATACCACCTTAGTGTATTGTGCTTCATGCAACATCTCCACACTTCATATCCTCATATCTTATATACTTTCTCATTGTTATATGAAGCTCATATACACCAGCTACTTTTCCAAACAACTAATTCCATTTTACACTGCTTATCCACACTGCCACTTTCCATACCCAAGTTTATGATACATTTGTCAGGACTTGAGAGTAGTATACCAACTCTCTGGCCTTTGTCATTTATTGATTTATGTTCAAGGAGGACAGTAGGTGCGTGAGAGTGCATAACATTTATGTTTTTTACATTATTGCAAAGCCATAAACACGTAATCATAACTCCAATTACTAACATTGATTCCTTTCATTACACTATATACCTCTCCTACGGCCCTAAAATATGTTAAAAAAATCTATACTATTAATAATTAAGGTCAATCACAAAGCAGTGGTTGTGATTCTAAAAGAAACAAAAGAACTTGGAAACTTAGGTACAGGACAAAAATATATACAGTATTATAATTTAATAATTCATTGTGTCGGGGGACAGGAAGCCAGAGTGTATTAATACACGTTTTGGCTTTTTTTTTTTATCGAGGTCTGACCCCAACCAGGAACGACTTAGTAATGTAGCAATGTACAATTGCTACTGCAAGATAAATATATATACACTCGTGAAATTGAAGAATTCATAACATACAGAACGCACATTCAACTATGACTGAATATAATAGACTGGTTCGAATGGCAGTGCTGAAAAGTGACTGAAATAAATTGAAACTATGGGGCCTGTACTGCATAAGTCACCCCATCAAACAGTAGAACAGTCACTCATAGTCTTATAAAGAGTCTCCCTCTCTCCTGCAAACAATGCCAGATGTATTATATAAAAGCAAAACGGTAATTTTAAGAAAACACCAAGCCATTACGATTATATAATAGCACTTGGAGGGCTATGAGGACAAGGAGATGGGATATGAGGACAAGGAGCTGGGATATGAGGACAAGGAGTTGGGATATGAGGATAAGGAACTGGGTATGAGAACAAGGAACTAGGATATGAGGATAAGGAGCTGAGATATGAGAACAAGGAACTAGGATATGAGGACAAGGAGCTGAGATATGAGGACAAGGAGCTGGGATATGAGGACAATGAACTGGGATATGAGGACAAGGAGCTGGGATATGAGGACAAGGAGCTGGGAAATGAGGACAAGGAGCTGGGATATGAGGACAAGGAGCTGGGATAGGACTGAGGGAAGAAATGGTGCCCATCAACTACTTAGATCATCGGGGATCGAACGTCGACATGCAATAAGGGAGATCATCGACCAAGAAACAGTCATAAAACAGTAAGGAAACTAAAGATATAAATCTTAAGTAAAACAATTCTTTTAATTCTGAAAAGGGGCGGGGGGACTCTGACAACCCGCCGGCTTCCTGTCCTCGTCGAGGCCACTAGTGTTTGTGACCCT